CAGCTCGCGGGCAGACAGGTCGCTCAGCACCTCCGCGAAGTCGGGGTCCTGCCAGGGGGGAGTGTGGTGCCACGGCTCAGCCCCCGGCGCGGTGAGCACCGCGGCTGCCGTGGCACGTAGGGGAACAGACGGCTTTACCTCCAGGGTGATGTTGGTGCGAACCTCCCGCAGCGTCTGGCCCTGGTGCAGGATGCGGACCCGCAGTGGGACCCAGGGGGATTCTGGGCATGGCAGAGGGGATTAGACCCACCGGACTGAAGGCCTGCGACCATCGTCCCTCTGCCCCCCAAACCCACCCCTCTGTGCCCACCACCCCCAAACTCTTGCACCCGATCCCCCACTTTCTTGCCGGCTCCCTGTTCTGTCCCCTGGACCCCTTGTATACACCGTGACCCCCACTGTTCCCCACTGCAACCCCACATCCTCGCACAACCCTCACCCCAGCCCCATCCTTCTGTACACCAACCCCCTGACACCCCACGTGCCCTCCAGCACCCCCCAGTCCCACACCCCCCATAGGTACGCCCCCCACCCCCCAACCACGCCTCAATCCCCCCATGCCGTGCACAGTCCCTATACCCACCCTGAGCCCACCCACGCATCCCGAGCCACACACATGCCATGCACACCACCCCCCCAGCCCTATGCAGCCCCACGGGGCAGTGCCAGGCCCCACGGGGTGCCCGTGCCCACCCTCACCCCCGGCACCAGGCTCCAGCAGCCCCCGGGATATAAGGATGAAGTGCAGGTTGTTCTCGGTGTCGCTCAGCGTCAGCATGGCCATGCCCCCAGCGCCCAGGTGCGTGGGGTCCGACGAGGTCAGGATGGCCCCGAACGTCTCTGAGTGGGGAGAGGGGGTGTGAGGGGCGCCCTGGTGGGCACCCACTGGGTGGGCATGCAGGAGCCGACCTTACCCGCAAAGAGCGCCCGGTGCTTGAGGATATGCCCGTGGACCTCTCCGGAGGGCTGCGCCCGGGTGACGAGGGACACGCGGAGCTGCTCCCCGCGCAGCAGCTGGATGTTGGCCTTGGACACCGTCCTCCACATCCCGCAGAGCTGTGGGTGAGGGCAGGGCTGGGCAGGGGCCGGGGGGGCACCGCAGACCCAGGCTGGGGGAGGAAGGGGTGCCCCCTGCCCTCCCAGCCCCTCTCACC